TGAGTGTGGTGCGGGGTGGGGGGGAAAAGAACGTGAAGCATCAACAGCTGTGAGTCACACTTGGTCGTCTGCCGAAACTGTCTGGAAGGAGTCCACCAATGAAAGGATGTGTGTTTTCCGTGTCATCTGAGAGAGTGATGACTTTCTTGTGACAAATCGCACATGGCCACGCGGCCACAAGGAAGCGCAATCTGGAGCTGAAAAGCGTGTCCTGACGCGTTCCGAGAAGCCCGCAAGCGCCTGCTGTGTGATGGCGGTCAAGGCCACATCGGCTGTCATCGGTCTTTAGAGACAGATTGCATTTGATTTTTTTTTTTTTTTAATCAGCACAGTTTAACAAGCAACAAAAGTCTTCCACTGTATGAAGGTGTTAAGTCAGATGTTCATTTCAGCCAAACGAGTTTGCTGGCAAGATAGGCTGGCCAAAAACCTGAAATGTCGCTCGCTCTCATAATCCCGACAACTTCCGGTTTGATCGTCTGCTGTCTATTTTGGTGGAAATTTGTTTTTTTTTTTCTTGTATTTGTCTTCTGTATTTTTACCAAAGGAATAGAATGATATGTGTTTATTTTTTATGTGAAGACATGATCATTCAATGGAAAATTTCAGTCGGATATCCTATCCCAAAACATTTGAGAGCTGCAGCCCTACTTCACATGTCAACCCAGAATGGGACAAGTCCATGGAATTATGAGGAGATGTAAACTACTCATTCTTTCAACATGCGGAACACATGCGATTACATAAGAGATCCCCGTCTATTCCGCAGTTTCCTGTAACATCGGAACATTTTCCAGATGTCGCCCCAGTACCTCGTGAGCCTATCTGCCATGTAATCCTTGTAAAACACAACTGCTGGAGCCGGCGCCCGCCTTATAAAGCCCGGCGAGCAGACAGGACGACGGAGGCGCTCCACTTTAGTCGCCCTTTTAAAATAAATACTCGCTGCTTTAAAAGCACTCGAAAACAAACCCGTCGGCTTTATGCGTGCTAACTGCGTTAGACCCTTGGAAGATGTGTCTGCCCTGTCGCATCCTGACCCCTCCCCTCCTACCCAACCCCCGCCCCCCTTCTGCACCCGCACTAAGGCGCCTGACTGAATCACCCAGATGAGACTTTAAAGTATTACTGTACATCCACCCTCCCCCCCGAAAAAAATAAATAAAAAATCAGATGAGGCGCTGGATTTGATACATATCTGGAGTTGTTGTTTCTAGTTTCAATAATGATCATGAGAAAATAATGGACTTTTTTTTTTGCTAATGATTTTTAAATAAAAAAAAAAATCAAGATTGATTCAAATAGTAAAAAAAGTATTTTTGAAATTAATAATTTGCGGTTTCTTTTAAATGATGACGAACTTGATTGAAAAGCATTTACATATTTTTCAAAAATATAGTAATAGACTTTTTAAATACAAATGGTGATTGTTGTACTAATATCATCATTTTGAATAATAAAAGTTATAAAAATTGTTACTAATATAATTTTTATTTTAAATAACTCATGATTATTTTTTAAAGAACAAAAGTCAAGTATTTTTAAATATTACAAATCAGAAATTTTTATAATGATGAATTGTTTTCATAATAATTCATTCTTTTTTTAAATATATATGTTTAAAAAATAAAAAAAATAAAAACCACAATTTAAATATATATATATAAATATATATATATATATTTATAGATATAGATATATATATATATATATAGATAGATATAGATAGATATCTATCTATCTATATATCTATATATATATCTATATATAGATATATAGATAGATAGATAGATATACATACATATATGGTTTACTTCCATGAGTGAGATGCAGGGCTTTTCACGGCTCCATTTGCAAAGTGGCTCAAAATATTAATCTTAATAAAATTGAGTCAAAATAATGTCAAGCTGAGGAGACCTTCTTGAGATATTATTTTCAAATTGACAAACAGCAAAAAAAAGTGTGTTTCCAGAATGAGTGCTGAACTTGAAGCTTGTTGCAAAAAAAAAAAAAAAACAACTAAGATGCAGCATGCTCTTTTGAGGGAAAATGCATGAAAAAAATGTAATCTTGCAATGATTGCGAGAGAACGCAAAGGACTTTTTTTTTTCCCTTCGATGTCCTGAGGGGCTCCGTAGCTTGGCGGCCTACTCAATGTTTTTTTTTTTTTTTAATGCGGTGTCAAGAAGTATTTTCCTCAGCAAGTACTTCCTTGCCGACAGTGCCACTTTACAACACTCGGAAACCATTGGCGAATACTCTGAGCAGTCTGGTCGTCTGTGTGTTTGTGAGGCCACGTGTGATCGCACAAGAGCCCCCCCCCCCCTCCCCCCCATATAGGTTTGGATTCGTGGTGAAAGACGTGCATGTGTGGAGGGGGGGAGAGCTGTGTTGACATTTTCTGAGCACCCCACGCATAATGTGATTAAAACTGTCAAATGCGAGATGTTTTTTGTATATCTTCCTTCATGTGTGGGTCTGTCAAAGATTTAAAAAATAATAATAATTAAAATCCGGCCGAAGGTTACCTCTGCCTGTTTGTCTACCTCCTAGATGTGGCGACTATGTTCTGTTGAGCGGGGGCCCCCTGGTGGCCAGAACGGGCCTGTGCTTTCAGTACGAGGTGACGGCGCTCCACAGTCTGGGTGGAGGGCGCTGGGGCCTCCACCGCCGCGCGCAGGGCCTCTCACTGCCTTTTCAGCTGGAGGTAGGATGGATGCTACTTTCGTTGTTCTACCACTGCAAATGAGAACACAAGGGAAAAGAATTGTTTTGAATCAGGTCACCAGCAAGCTCTTTAGAACCCTGAAATGATTATGATCATTTGAATTAGGCGTGTTGGTGTGGGGAGGGATCTGAAACATGCAGGATATGGCTCTCGAGGATCCGGAGTTCCCTACGCCTGGTTTAGAGGATAGCTATGTCACAGGGGTCTCCAAACTATTTTGTTTGAGGGCCGCATACAGAAAAATGCAAGGATAAAAGGGCCACTTGTAAATTCTTCAACGTTATGAAACACACTAAATTCAATCAAGAAAGCAATGATATATTATTTGTAGTGTCTGGTTAATTTCATCAGCTTTCTGTTAAAGGTCCTAAGGTAAATAGTTGAGGATTTTTTCCAAGCTTTTGGGGTGGCCAATAGTTGTCTATCTCACAGAGTAGATCCATCTCTGCACTAAGCAGCAGCCGAATCCCATTTCCACATTCTGAACCCCCCCAAAACCAAAAAAAGGTGACCATTTTGCAAACACTTACTTGAGGATCATTCATGTGATGCCTTCATAAATCAGCCATAAAAGCTTAAAGTGGAAGAAACAATTTTTGTCTCGAAAATTGAATCTTCTTCATTCACTACGGTGTTTTGAAGATAAATTGCGTTTGTTTGTATCTTTGAATATAGAGAAAAGATGTACAGTACACCCTCCCCTTGTCACTGCCCACCTCCACCTTTTTTAACTAATCTTGTGCCCTATGTCATATGACATTTTTAGTGTTAAATATTTTTGGGTCATGTCATGGGCCGCTGAAATTGGAATGGCGGGCCGCAAATGGGCCTTGGACTGTACTTTGCACACCCCCGCTATAGCACAATGGTATACAGTACTCGGATATGTTCAGTGTCACGTGTGATTGCCCCCAATCGTTTCTCCACGTGACTGCCTCTCACGTTGTCTCGTTCGTGCAGGCCCACCACACAGTCTGGAGGAAACTGAGGAAGCGGGCAGAGAAACTGGTGAGAGCAAACATCCCTGTTTCACACGCGCATCCAACAGAGAAAACATCAAAAGCTAAAGCGAGCCTGCCAGCTCAGACAGGGCCGTTACGAGTGAGGCGACGCTCGGCTCTGCATGCTTGATGCTAGTCCAAATTAGCCGCTTGTTCTAAATCCAGCCAGGCCCTTACCCTGGATGCCCCTCATCACTCCAGATTTCACACTCTATCCAGAGGTTAGGATTTAACGTCCTCCTTTTTTTTTTTTTTTTTAATAGCTTTGCGTTTATGTTTCTGGCACAGACTGAGAAGGGACTCTCATCCTTCTCATATGAAGGACAAACCGCCTGTATCTGAAGTTGACATCAAACACACCAATGAAGGAGCCAAGAAAACTATTTTTAAATCTCTCCAGACTCTCTCCGCGAAGTGCATCGCGACACAAGTCGATTCTGACTGAAGTAGCAAAGATGCATAAATCCTTGCTATTTAAACTAGGCTGAGTTAATTTTGGATGGAGCCATCTAGGCAGAATCTATTCTACTGCTGCAGCCTCTCTGGCACTCTCTGTGCATCACCGACTGAGTGTGTAGTGCGGGAAAAGGACTACTCATTAATAGGCACGCTTGATTTGGCAGCCGATGACATACGATGCTCCACGGCCTACATTTCCTTTGCACAGCGCCACTGTTATTTGGGGAATTGAACGTGCACTTTGTTCAAGACAAGCGTATGGAATTGGATGAACGTCAAAAGGAAATATGTGGATCAGTTCTTGGTGGAGTTTTTCCACACACGGGAGTAGCATGGAGAGCTGCCACTCCTTTTTTTTTTTTTTTTTAAGACTTTGGGGTACGTCATTGTACCCAGCTTGCAATGTTATCTTGTCTTTTATGTGTCAGAGTATCACTCTCACAATCAGTCGTAGAGCTATAAACGGAAGCTGCCTTGCGGATGAAAGTTGGTAATGCGTTTAGACCAGGGGTCGGCAACCTGCGGCTCTGGAGCTGCATGCAGCTCTTTAGCGCCGACCTAGTGGCTCCTCTACACCTTAGCTACGATAGTTAACACGCTACAAAAGTGCGTCCCATGCCTCGTTCATCTTAGCGGCCATTATGGCTGTTGCTCATTTTGGCGTGCGTGCGTATGCGTGGGTGTGCGGTAATAGGTCGATCGCGGGAGGTTGGTTGATTGAAAAAAGGCAATTTAGTCATTTTGACAGTAGGCTAATATAGCGAATATAGATACATACTGCATGTGTTGCCTTCATTATCAGGCCTATAATTTTTTGCGGCTCCAGACATTAGTTTTTTTGGTCTAATATGGCTCTTTAAACATTTTGGGTGGCCGACCCCTGGTTTAGACTGATGTAATCTTTTTTTAAAGACAGGTCACAGGTGTCTCAATGTTCTCGGGCGTTTGTCCAAATACACAAATGCTAAGGAGTTTGGGATATGCAGTACATTTATGTATATGGAAATATTACACAATATTGAAAACAAATTGGCGTGAACAAATCTGAAGATGCAAATCTGCGTGTGCCAGACCACAAGTATATGGGGGGTCCACTGTATATAAAAACAAATGAAAAACTATACTGAAACTGACATAAAATGAAGTACTCGCGAAAATGTTTTTAAAACATTAAAAACTAATGAACCCACTCTAAAAATGAATTAAAGCGAACTGAATATCAAAACGAAATAAACTCAACTGCATTGATAGTGCACTTTAACACAACCACCGTTATATACAAAGGAGCAAAAATAAGTCTTACAACCACAAAGACAATTAAAACCATAAAGAAATAACATAAAAACCATAAAAAGCGCAAATCTCTAAAACAAAACGGAGTCTCATGCTGAGTCAAAAGCCAAAGAATAAAAATGGGTTTTAAAGATGGGGGGGGGGAAGAGGACTTGCTTAACATTAAGCAGGAGGTCGTTACAGAGTGGGGCAGACAACAGAAAAAGGCTCAATTCCCCTCTGAGCCTCCTCTGACCACCAGTTAGGAGGCGAGCAGCAGCATTTTGGACCAACTGGAGAAGCGTGAGGGAGGATTGGCTGAGTCCCAAATAAAATGCATTACGGTATTCCGACCCTTTTGCCTAGCAGAACATACATCTGACTGTTATCCACATCGGAGTAGAAGGAAATGACCATGTTTTCTTCAGAAGGAATCCAAGGGCAGCAGGGAAGAGTCTACGTAGATAGACTGAGGGGGTTTCATTACAGAATCTATAGTTTTAAATCGTACACGTGGTTGTGATGGTTAGTCTGAAGAAAGTTTGACAAGGATGGATGAAAGTGTTTTCTTCCTCAGCTGTGATCTTGTTGCATACAGTCTTTCTGGATTTGATGAGAGACTTGCAGCCTGTCTTTTTTCCACCTTCGTTTGGCTTTGGGGCACTTCTGTTTAGCTGCGTGAGTTCTGTCATGAAACCAGGGCTGAGAGGGTTAAAAAGCCAGAGGCTGCAAATTTAACAGTAGCATGGGAAAAGACAACATCAAAGAGAAGCGTCATATGATGGGAAATCACATCGTCGCAAGACATTCAAGTAGGTCTAAAGCGGGGGTCGGCAACCCGGGCCTCCAGAGCCACCTGCATCACATCGTCGCAAGACATTCAAGTAGGTCTAAAGTGGGGGGTCGGCAACCCGGGGCTCCAGAGCCACCTGTGGCTCTTTAGCGCCGCTCTAGTGGCTCCCCGAAGCTTTTTCAAAAATTTTGAAAATGGAAAAAGATGGGGGATGGAAATATATTTTTTGTTTTAATATGGTTTATGTTGGAGTAAAAACATGACACAAACATTCTTGACGTTTTGTAATGCTGTAAAAATGTGTAGAATAAAATTTAAATTTCAACATTTCTGTCAATGAAGATTTGCGTCATAGCCTGTGACACACGTTTCTATTACCAGGACGGGATGCTAGTCAGGTGGCTGTTTAAAAAAAAAAAAAAAAAAACAGCCTTTCATGTACAATTCACCGAAGGTACTGGCAAAGAATGGGAATCTCGAGGGCCGATAGAAGCATTTTTAAATGGTATACGTGAGCGTATGCGTCCCATGCCTCGTTCAATTTAGCGGGCGGTATGGCTGTTGCTCATAATGACATGCGTGTGTAAGTGCGTACGTATGCGCACGTGTGTGGTAACGGGTTGATCACGGGAGGTTGGTTGATCGAAAAGTAGATCTTCGGTCAAAAAACGTTGGGCGCCCCTGCGCTACAGGATGCAGTGCAGGGAAAAATATAGTATTTGTAGCCAACTTAGTCATTTTGATAGTAGGCTAATGTAATATTACAAGACTTATGGAAGGCTTTTAAGTTTTTGCGGCTGCAGACATGTTTGTGTTTTGCTTTTTTTGTCCAATATGGCTCCTTCGACATTTTGGGTTGCCAACCCCTGGTCTAAAGTATGCCCTTGTTCGTGTGTGGGGGACAGTCAGACACTGCACTAAATTAAAGGAGTCAATGAGGCTTAAAAAGTCCTTTGCCAATGTTTCTTCAGGACAGCACACACCAATATTAAAAACCCTATTTGAGGAAGATATGAGCATGCTTGAGCATGATTTCGGCCAGAAGATTTGAAAAGTCATTCAAAAAGTATTATATTTATATTTATTATGTTTCAAGGGACGATAAATGACCGCACAGGGAAAGCATGGTCTACTTAAAGTGACTTAAGACGGTCTTAAGAAGTAACTGTCGTGAACAATCCAAGATTATTATAACCCTGGTTACAAGTGGTTAAAAGCTTTCCCATCGTTGACCAGCACCGGTCCGAAGCTGCCAGTCTTTTTCAAGCGCGTAAACCAGGGGTCGTCAATCCTGTTCCTCGACTGCCTGCCTATTTTGCTTCTCTCCCTGTTGCAACACTGCGATTTCAAATGATCAGTAATCAGGAAGGCCTGCAAAAGCCAGATCATGATCCTGATCATTTTGAATCAAGTTGTGTTGCAGCAGGGAGAGATGGAAAACAGGATCGAAGACCCCTGGTGTAAACGCTGACGTCATTCACGTTAAGAGCAGCCTCGCGATTCCGATTGCCCGCGAAGCATCTGGCACCAAGCCGCACAGATGGATTACATCGTCAATGTGCGTCACCTCTCCAGCCGGCCGCCATCTCACTACGCTCCCGATTGAAATTCCAATTGGATGAGGCCCGTTTATTCCAACTGAGGCGTTTATATGGAGCATTTTCAGTCTGTTTGTACGTTTGGCTTCATTCTAATCGGTAGCCAAGGAAGGCTCCATGTAAACCCGGTTTATGTAGATAGATGCCAACTTAGCGGAAGCTGTGATGGTCCTCTTAATAATTGTAAAGTACAGCATATGTAGTCTATTGACGCAAAGGATAAAAAGGCTGTGATTTTTTTTTAAAACTGTTTTCGGCCCACAGGTGGAGGTGCAGCTGCCTGAGAAAGTGACTCCGCCCCCTGTTGCTCCTCCCACTCCGCAATCAAGCGGCCAGTAACACCAGAATTGTCTACACACTCGCACAAACACACACACACTTGCCCTGTATTGTCTGACCAATAAAATTGACAAAACAAACTGCCAAATCGTTTCCATTTGTTTTCAATGAAATCAAATCAATGGTCTTTTTGTTGTGCTGTCTGTGTTGGAGCTATTGGCGCTGCGTGTTCCGCACGTGTGCTAGAGCGATTTGCGGCAACAAACGCAGTGTCTGTGTATATTAGGACTAGTGGTTGTCTTGTCAGCTGTCGCGTGCGTCACTTGTCTGACAGGTGGCTGTCTGAGTGTGTTCTGAGGCTACCGTGTGAGCCAGTGTTTACACCTCCAGCGCACCCCCCCCCCACTGCCCCAACCGCCACCCCGCTGACACATGACACCAAACACTCCTGCTTTCTGTCAGCTTCATACACTTTCACTTGTTCATGATGTTTATGTTGAGTGACAATGCTGAAGGGGTATCACTCATTAGCTTTTCTGCCAAGAGTTTGATCAGAAGATCGAAAAATAACTGTCATATCTATTTTTAATCTTCATGCCTTCGTTCCCCCCCACACCGCCCTTCTTGTAAAGGCAACATGCCGGGCAGTTTTATTGCGCATCCTTGGTAGTCAAGGTTGCCGTGACCTCAGAAAAAACGCCTTCCATGACTGAAGATGCTGAATATGAAAAAAAAAAAAAAAAAGGACCCACCAGAGGAAAAAGAGGTGATGATCTGATGCAGTCACTGTGACGTCGTATTTTACAAACGTTAGTCTGATGTTCCTACAGTGTTCATACCTCTGCAGACCGGTGTCTTTTACAACGCAAAAAAAAAAAAAACTTTGGAAGCAGAAAGTTCGATGGGGCTCCAAGTTCACAACGGTGTCAATTAGTTTGTGCGGTTGCATAAATCGACATCATCATAGGAAGGCACTCTCCATTCACACTGACTTTTGCTGTTTTTCCATTCGCTCGGTTTTTATTTATGGTCTCCAAGTGTTTTGCAAACGTGGATTTGCTGCCATGACATTTTTACCACATGAGTAACGCGGCTGTGGCGCTTGGCTACTCACGATTGAGACATGAGGCATGAGACAAGTTGCGTGGAGTTAATTTCTCTTAAGTCAGCCATGTGCGGCAGTGCAGGTGCTGGGGGACAACTGGCAAGGGAGAAAATCTCCGGGTTCGTGTGCAATTCCCAACTTTTCATCACTTCCCAAATCCCCTCCTGATATTTGAGCTTGCATGGAAAGCAAAAGACAGTGCAGCTGTAAAGTTGTCGCTCAGGTTGCCGAAACATTTTTAGCTCGTGCATCTTCCTTGGAGACTTTTCTCACTCTTTTACGCACGGAATCATCAAGGGGAAGGGCAAGAAAAGTCCGTTTTGCAGCTGTTGCTCCAACTTAAGCTTCAAACCCGCACCCGACTAAATCTGACCATCACACCCTGACAACGCATGACGCACGCCGCGATACACTTGCGGCCGCCACACTGTGGCTCATACAGTATCAAACCTTCAAAAGCATTGGCAGCAGTGAGTCACTAATGTGACCACTTCGACCAGTCGGTCAGGTGGGAAGTTGCCCGGTAATTCTGCTCATCCAGTCAATTTCACAATGGTTCAATTTATAGTAATTCTCTGTTGGGCCACTGATCTGCCAGGCTTAAGATCATTTGTGATTGTGACAGTCACATCGCATCACGAGTGGGCAAAGGTAGTAAACATAACATTGCACAGAGGCGGAGAGAGGGGAACCCCCCCCCCCCCTCGCAAATGCTGCAGCAACAACTGAAGCTAATGAAAAATCAGGATCACGTGTAGAAATCCAAAAATAGCCATTATCACCTTCACAGATAAACACGCAAGTCCTGAAATACAAACCCCAATTCCAAAGCATTTTGATCTGTGTCTGCATTTTGCACTCACGACCACAGCCAAGACCGTTTTTTTGCTTACAGTTATCCTACCATGCATGTTTTGGGAATGTGGGAGGAAAGCAGCGTACCCGGAGAAATCCCGCTCAGGCACGGAGAGAACATGCAAACCTTACACAGGAAGGCCATATGTGCCCGGAACCTTTGCACTGTAAGTCTGTTGTGCCAACCAGATGTCCACTGTGCCCCCACCCAAGCCAACTTGAACACCAGGCACCAGGCACATTTCCTTTTCACATGTGCAAAAAAATTGTTCATGGTTTGTTTTCATGAATAAGTCCATTCATCCATTTTCCGTTCCGCTTTATCCTCACAAGGGTTGCGGGGGGTGCTGGAGCCTATCCCAGCTGTCTTCGGGCAGTCGGTGGGGGACACCCTGAACCGGTTACCAGTCAATCGCAGGGCACACACAGACGAAAAACCATTTGCGCTCACACTCACACCTAGGGACAATTTGGAACGTTCAATCAGGCCGCCACGCATGTTTTTGGAATGTGGGAGGAAACCGGAGTACCCGGAGAAAAGCATGCAGGCACGGGGAGAACATGCAAACTCCACACTGTGAGACCGACGCGCTAACCAGTCGGCCACCGGGCCGCCATGATGAATAAGTCCCAAACACGGAAATACACAAGGCTTTTCAAACCCATCTAAAGTTCACTTTTAAAACAAAAAGACACCACAAACTTGCGTATGTTGTAAACAGCCACAAACACCTCAGGCCTACGTTTCAGTACAAATTGTACTTTGAAACCCGTGGCGCCAAAACTCTCCTCCTTTACCATTTCAAGTAAAGCATCACATGAAACATCAAGCCTCAATTTCAAGTAACTCTGTTTACCGTCGAATCACGACCTTTCCGACCAAAATGTTGCTCAAAGCTGGTTCACGTTGCCCCCAAAACCACGTTATCGGGGCAAACACTCATTGGCTCTTTGTGGGGTTGTCAATCGGATACATATGTGACACAACGGTTTTGAGCCGGCTTCTGGGAGAACAGGTCAGTAGCCGTCCGTCCATTCATTGTTTCAAAATTACTTTCACAAACTACATTACATTTACGAACTTAGAAACTGGGTGCATATGCGGTCTGTGACAGTGTTGCCTATGTGAGAAAAAGAAGCGGCCACTTGACCAAACACATACAATAACTTGATTTATTCAATTAACAGCAATTGACCCTCAGTCCACAGAAGAGTTTGACTTGGTCTGAAATCACGGGTTGACTTGAAATGTGCATCTTCCTGTTCTGATTTCCTTGAAAGTTAGTCTTAGTTTGCCAGTCCAGCGTCACTTAAAATGTAGGCCTGAGATTCCTATGGTGCTTCACATTGAAAGGTTGGCACTTTTTCTTTTTTTGAGTTGCAAGCATCAACAACAAAACAGGTTAAAATGTCTGTTTCTGGGATCATGATTCTTGCATTGTTGTCCTTTTGTGAGATGAAAACAATTCTATCGATGGTCCAAAAAAGAAATCAGTGAAAAGAAAATGCATTTGCAAAATCACAAATAAATGGCATGCAAATGGAAAGGAAATGCGCCCTGGGTCAGCTCAGCAAATCCAAAGTTTACCCTGAGAAATCTCGCGAAACTGGACCCTGACAAATTTTAATTGAAAATCCTGATCAGACTTTTTTTTTTCCCTGAAGCCAAAAAAAGTACCTCAAACTGCTTTTTAATCATTACAATCGCTACAGACACATACACATAGACAGGTTAAAAATAATGCGATAGTGACCTTTGGTGTATGGCTGCATACAAAGAATCCAAATGAGGAAACACCAACCATCTGCACCAGGAGGGGACAACAGCCCACAGCCCCAGGACGCCGATACGGTGCCAAAGGGCAGAGGACCATGGCTGCGGCCCATCACAATCCCCAATAAAATATGCAACGACATAAAAAAAAAAAAAAATAAAAAAATAAAAAATCTTTAAAAGAATGTGGTTAGCGCATCGACCTCACAGTGCAGAGGTACCGGGTTCAATTCCAGCTCCAGCCTCCCTGTGTGGAGTTTGCATGTCCTCCCCGGGTCTGCGTGGGTTTTCTCCGGGTATTCCGGTTTCCTCCCACATTCCCAAAACATGCATGGCAG